CCGGTTGGTGAAGGAAGGTAGGGCGTTACACCCCAGTTCATTTAATTTCTTATGATCCCGAATCATAAGAATATTGCTTTCCGCAGAAAAAGATCATTGGACCTTCGTCGTAGCTCACTTCCAGAAATGACGTGGGGGTTGGATGTTCGAATGGTTAACACGTGCACGCTGTGTCATAAGGTCTGTCATTGAGTCAACTGGCGTGGTTTCAATTCCCCGGTAGGGTCGCCTGTCCGACCTCGTGGGTTTTCTCCGGTTCCACCGGTTTCCGCCCACTGCTAAAGACATCTACGCAGAAGCAAATTATTGAAATAAGATGGAATCATGTGTTAGTCCCGAAATGACCTAGTTTGTGCCGAGTGGACGTTAAACCCCATCTCTCTCTCCCTCTCCCTCTCTCTCTCTCTCTCTCTCTCTCCAGGGATGACCACGGTCCCATTTAATCTATGGTTTTAAAATGGTGGTAGCAGACAACAGACACAGAAGTAACTCAATTCATCTCACATTTTTACAGATCGAAAATTCAAATTAAAGCTAATCTTAGGTTTGGGTATTCATTCTGTGTAGAATGTGCTGGGTCACGACTCGCTGTCGGCCACGATCAATTGTTATAATTCGTGGCCATATTGACAAGAGAACATCCTGGGATAGGCGTGGGAGTGGCCGTTCCAAACCCTCACAAATACTTCCAATAATCTTTTAGATAAATAGGCCAGACGAGAGACGAGAAGACAACGACTATCCAATGTTTACCCTTCAGAATATATAACGTCTAATAAAGACTGGATAATCCACTCGGCAAATTATATGTTCACGGTCAATCATGACGTTTGATTATTGCCGGTGGGGTTTTAATTCCGATTGATTCTAGCTTCCTGAACGTCTATATAGTCCGGGCTTTATTATTTAGTCATGGATTATCTTTAGATCCTATGAGTATATTTCATCACACGCTAAATGTATAAATACACTTAAATCTGGCTGTAATTGTCTGTGCTGTAACGATTTCAAATCAAATATCTTGAGATGGGCTTGATACTAATCTTTAAATAAATTTGGTAAAACTTGGGTTGTTCACACGATGTAATTAATGGACGGTGTTAATCTACCCCTTATTGCCAATTATATCTGGATTAAAATTAATTCAATTCATTTATTAAACGAGGCTGTCCATACGCGAGAATGTTTATTTCTACACGGTGGAACTAGTACCACCATACGGAGCTTGGTCGCCACTTCCGCCATCTCGCCCTGTTATTTCTTTTCTTGGAAACAGTATCTTTGAGATAGGAACTGACCAACTGAGTTTTATTTATTTATTTTGACCGGACTTAGGCGTTTCCGCCTACTCATCATTCAAGTTTCAAAAGTCTTTTAGGGGACCTAGGTCTTTGGTCCCGTCCGAAGGACTAGACGCTCGTTCTTGCCAGACTCTCTGTAGTCGGGAGACAAAAAAATAACCCCAAACAAAGTAGGCTATCTCAAATCTCGGTGATCCAGTCCCTCTTTTTGTCCTTCCCGAACGACTAGATGCTCGTCTCTGTAGTCCGAGACAAAATAAATCCAAACAAAGTAGGCTGACTCAAAACTCGGTGATCCAGTGGAGAAAATAATAATAAATTATAAAATGGTGAAACGTGGATTGTCAGTTGATATCTTACTGTAGTCTGTGATATACCTGGGTGTAGTAAGTCTAGTCTACCTATAATATATCATCACAGGTAGAAGTGTGAAAAGGTAGGAGACAGGTAACATTACTCTCTACACCTACCTGTATACACGTTAAATGACCGTGTCATCCACCCTACTGAGATACCCGAGAAGGTCCGATGTCGACAGATGAATGAAATGAAAGATTTAATACTGAAGTTAAATAAACCCGTCATTCCAGATTCTCCGACTCGTCTATCATTTCTAGCAGTTGTTGATGGCCATTTATCCGTCACCCCTCGACGTCTATAGTAATATATTATATCTTCTCACTAGGGGGCGTTATCGTCTATTATTATTAACACCAGGAGGCGCTGTTGACTAAATTAAAGTCTTGTCATAACTTCACACGTCAGTAAACCAACAACAATCTTTTAAAAAAAGATAATAATAAAGTTATCTGAAGTTGTATGATACAAACTTAAATAGACATTAATTCGATTATTTCTCTCAAAACCCATTTTAATATTTTCCTAAACAATATTTTATTTTTGATAGAAATTAGGGAACAGACTTGACCTATGGGGAAACACCCAATTCTCTCGGCGACGTGTCTCTTTAAAGGGAATGTTTGAAGTAGTTCAATCAAGTTTAAAAATATTTTTCTCCCGGTAAGATTCAGCAGGATTTTTCTGTCTGGTTTTCCTTTGTCTACGGTGTATTTGGAGGGGGGGGGGGGTACAATGAAGGGCGTCTAGTCGTTCGGATGGGACGAAAAACCAAGGCCCGTCCGTGTACTTGTTTGTATGTACGAAAAAGAAATCCTTGGCAGTTGGAATTTCTCTCATCTCACTGTGTTTCGTATGCTCATCATGATTAACACAGTTGGTGCAGAAAAGTAGGACGTTCAATCCCGTTTCATTTTATTAAAAATAAAAATTTTCCAGAAAAGAAAAGTATCAAACCCGTTACTAAATATCAGAAATATTGAAGCCTTGAATAATCAAGGTTATAAATGACTTAACCCGACCTGTGAGAAGACACCTCTTCAGGGATTACTATTTCATGCTCTATGAATTTGGTGATTTTAAACCTATTTGTTAAATGAAGCGGGGGAGACGAACAAGTGTCTTAAGCCGCAATTAACCGTAAATTAACCGTAAAACCGTTTTTCCCGAATTCGATGACAATGAATCGGATATAAATACCTAGGACAACATGTATCCGATTAGCTACGTTCTGAAAGGTGTTAATTGTTGAAACGCAGGTGTTGGTCGTCGGTTGATACCTATTTAAGGGTTTATTGTATGTAATGTAGCGTTTAATACCCACTTACTTATATCTAATGTACCGTTATACATTATAGTACATATTCATATTATAATAATACACACTCTTGTTCGCTAGTCTGGAGGTCGGGTGTTCGATCCTTGCATTGGGCCGAGAAAGTTCATCCAGATTTCCTGGCATGGTTCCCTCTTGTCAGTGATGCAGGACGGAGGGCCTGACAAGGACAGCTATCTAGTCGTTCGGATGGGACGGAAAACCGAGTTCCCGTGTACACATTGGCGTGCACGTAAAAGATCCCTTGACAGTTGGAATTCGATATAAGAGTAGGCCGCAGTGTCGCTGTCCGGGCAAACTTTCCCTCATAGCACACTGTAAGGCGTATGTCCGTCTTCATTAGCCCAGTTCGGAGTAGAACCGTAGGACATTAAACCTCATTTTTTTTATAATAATACACAGATATACAATAAAATGAAATATGGTTTAACGTCCAACGTTTTATACACTGACTGGCCATATGCCATACAGTGTGCTACGAGTGTACTTTAGTCTACACTGGCAAGGAGAAACCATACCAGAAATTACCGAGCGAACCCGAGCGACTGCGGCTCCCCGATACACAGGTAATATAGGCCTACTTGTGAACAAGCCTGTTAGAATGGGGATCGTACTTAGTAATGTTCATCCAAACAGTGGTTATTGCGCACACATGACTGCGTGTGACCGGAAGTAGTGATGCCAGAGATTGAGAGAGAGAGACAGATCGGGACTAGGTTTTCAATTGGGTCTCAAATCATATATCAAAATATACCCCCCCCCCCCTCCTCCCCCCCCAAGGCCCTAATCTACTTCATGACAAATCACAGGTATGGTCGAACTATTTGCATGCACAAGGAATCAGGCCAGACCGCGTACCGAGTCAAACTTCTATTTCTTTACAATATTAATGTATCATCTTTTAAAACGTAGATAAATTATAACCTACTTTAGATTTTCATTATTTATGATTATAACACAATGTTGGTTTGGGTTAATTTTATTTACAGCTAAATTAATATCAATATTATGATACATTTAACAAAAAAACAATATTACAGTCAAACAATTTGTTTACGGCTATATTAATATCAATATTATGATACATTTCACAAACAAATAATATGACCGCCAAATAATTTGACTGGAGTGATGGTTTGTTTATTTTATATATAGATATATAATTTGTTCTTGGGAAAATAAACAAAACTAATCTACATAGATAAACACATAGATAATTACATTCTGTCCTTCAAATTGTAACATTTATATTATAATATAATAGACAGTTTCCTAGACTCTCCCAGGTGGCTTTCCTTGAAAATAATTCACCTTCTCGTCTTTACGAACTTTCAAACTGGTGGATACGACTTGTTGATTTGTTTTAAACAATATTTATTCAAATAAGATAGGTATTGTATACATACATTGTAAAAAAGTAAGGATTCAAAAACAAGCCAAAGGCTTATATTAATTCGTTTTCTTATTAATAGGACTTGTTGATTATGACCTGGATAAGTTAATAAATGTCTAATTAATTATTAAAGATACATTATGGGAGATTCGATAACGAGTTGGCAGTTCTCACTATAATATTTAAAAACTAGATAATGTAAAGGCAATTTGCTCAAAATTTCATTCAAATTGATCCACTATGAACCGAGAACTAAGCGGTTGAAATTTCCGGCTAGCCTTGATCATCATTACTAAAGTCAGTACGATAAACAGCATAGTCTCGATTATCCATTTATTCGTTAAATCGTGAAGGAAAGTTATGCAATAAATCGGCTCATAATCCACTAAAGAGTTGATTATTGTCTGGATAGGTTAATAAATGTCTAATTAATAATTTAGATAACATTTCAGGCCTAAAGAAAGACGTGCAACAGACAGATTTAGCTCTTGCATAATGTATGTTTAATATAACATTTCAGGCCTAAAGAAAGACCTGCAATAGACAGATTTAGCTGTTGTATAATATATGTTTACTGTTGTATAATATATTTTTAATGTGTAATGTTTTTCAGGTATTTGGGTGTGTCCAGTTCGTATCAGTCACTAGTAGAGGAAATCAAACATTTACCGGGCAGAAAGAAATGTTCTAATTTAGCCTTCTTAGCTCCCAGACAGCAGGAATTATGTAGTTTAGAAGACAAAATTATAGAAGTTATCCATGAGGGGGCTTCTATGGGAATCGAGGAGTGTCAGTATCAATTTCAGACCAGACGCTGGAATTGTTCAACGTTTAATACAACAAATGTTTTTGGACAGATTTTAAAAATAAGTAAGTAGACATTTTGTTTTACAATTTCATAAAACAGCAGACAATAAGTGGTGCCAAGGGTTCAAATAACAACACAAATTTTTTTAACTGTACGAATTCCCCAAATAACAAGTAGTAGTGATATTCTCCTACACAAATCCATATAAATATTAATGGCTACTTTATGTTTATCTAAAAATGATCCAAGTATTGGTTGGACCGACGTTAAACTGTATGGCGTATACCCGTCTTCATTAGCCCAGTCGAAGCAGAACAGTAGGACGTTAAACCCCATTTCATTTCATTTTCATTTGCTATATCAAAGCCTATACCGATGCCTTTATTGGATTAAAACAAGGAATTTATATTACAAACCTTCATATCGCCGTTTTCTGGCAGTCAACAGTAGTGATAAAACCATCCATCCTACCCTGGTTCGTCAACAGAAGCGATAAAACCATCCATCCTACCCTGGTTCGTTTCATTTATCGAGCTATGAGGATAAACAATATGAACATAGTTTGGTCTATCTCAAAGAAGTTTGGCAAACATTGCAAAATTAACTCTTTTAAGTGTATGGAGCAAGTATTTGTATTTATTAAACTTTTGCCCGTGTTATTATTGCTGTGTTCATCAAGTACCGAGATGACTGGCCTGTGGATTAATCCAGCGCGAGGAATGTACGAAACTAATTTCACTTCCATCAAAGAACCAGAAAATTAAAACCAGTCATGCGTATAATGCTTTCATGTTTGTTTTTCTTAAATTTATTATCAGGCATTTAATGGAAATGAAAACCTACTTTACTTTCGTTAGCTTTCCTGTGTTCTGTCTTTATAAAAACGAATAAAGACGTCCGGTATTTTGTAATAAATTAAATTAGAATATTTTTTGCGATAGGCTATACCCACAAGATGGTGTGAAACTTATATTCTTAAGAATTATAATAGTTGAAAGTGTTTCATTGTGAACTTATCAAATCTGCCTGGGGGCACCACCCAAGTTTACCAACTTTCAAACAGATGTAAAGCGTAGGTTCACAAAGACGTATTGGATCGAAGCGTCAATCAGTTTTATTTGTCAAGATTTCGCATTTCGGTGCAAATTAATTTTTAATATAATACATAATAAATAATAACAATATTTGGGATAAACGATGGCTGAACACAATTGTCTATATCCATTGGAGATTTGGAGTTGAAAATATTATGACAAAAATTCGAATGAAACCGCAATATTTAATCTTGTAGATTTCGCATATTAGTGCAAAATAAGTGAATTATTTCCTAGCACGCATATATTTATAATATAATCACCCTGATATTTCACACAATAGTGTAAATTAAATTATTTTATAACGGAGACAGTTGATATTGAAAAAATTAGATAAAGTTAGAGACGATGATCGTTGTTTGGAGGGATTTTATTTAATCTCCTAGCAAACTACAATATTGTGAAAATTAAATCTCCAACAGACTTATAGTTACATAGATATAAAACAACGAAAATGTCACATCATTCGTCATCCTCAATCATTAAACAAGCCAGCCCCACCGATAAATGTTGGTACGATCTTTTGATGGGCCCCTTTTTAACCTAATCGAATCCAAGCCAGAATATTATCTACCGTTCATATTTTGATTTTGTGTTCTTAATTATATTTTTGCACGGATTCACTTGTACAGTGTGGTCTTGTCTTGGCAGACTTATTGCAAAGCCTAAATAATATGACTGATTTTGAAGCCGTCATAAACAGTCTAGCTAACATTTGAATATAAAATAAAAGTAGAAAACATACCGATACGGCAAAAATGTATCGATACAGTGTATAGCGGTTGATCGTATTACAATATATCGATATAACAATATTTTTGACATATTAGATATTGTCTGTACAATGCCGATGGAGATCATAGAATGGTGATCATTGACAAAAGCTTTAATAAAAACATCAATAAAAACAATCAATGGCTTTAAGCAATATTGTAAAATACATAAATAAATACATAAATACTTTAGTTAGCGCGATTTAGAATGTTAATAGATTTTCATGAGCAAAACAGTAGAAATACTTTTTTACCATTTTTTACCTTTTCATGTTTCAAAACACCTGTTGGAAATTTGAAACTTTTGTTAGAAACAATTTTAGAAGAAAAAAAAACATGTTTCCCAAAATAAACTCATATTTTACACTTGTTAACAAATAAAAGCAGGAAGAAATAGAAGCGACTTGTTCTCCAGTAAAAAAACAGAAACGAGTACACAGATAAAATTATTTTGTGAAAGATTTTATTTTGTTTTATTTTCTCGTAGGCTTTCTAATTCAATCTGAAAGGATATTTTACAAGTGAATGGTAAAGATCCCCGTATAAAATACATTATAATAGCAATTGTTGTTAATTTATAACAAACAGTCTTTGCTTGGGGTTAAAACACACTCTATTATGGTCTACAATTTGATTCAAATACAGATCTTTATTTCGTTTCGTTTTTTTATACTTTCGATGGTCTACACTACTTGAAGATCTGACAAGTTGTAGTGGGACGTCACGTCAGGGGTCATACGAGTGGCTTTTGACTCTATGACGTCAGACATATGATTAACAAATCAGCGTTTATGTTCCTGGTAGGATACCCACAGTTCCGTACATCGCACGCCAAGAACTCGCTGCAACAGACCGTTTCCTTGGCTAATCCTTCAACTACAACCGGTTAGATGTAGTGTAGGCCATCAAAGGTATAAAATACGAAACGAAATAGGATCTGTGTTTTAATCAGAGTGTAAATAGATAAACAAATGGCATTATTGCAAGTTTTAATTGATCGAATATCTAAATATCCAACAATGGATATTTTAAAAGAATATTGCAAGTACCATAACTTTAACTTCAATTTCTCAATTAATAAATGGATATTCAACAAATAAAGATATGATCGATGAGGATAAATTTATTGCGGCTTGCATAATCTAAATGACGCTTTATGATAATGCATATTTTAAAAATAAAAATAAACCAGCGCAGTAATAATTACTTTTGAAATGGTCGTGATAGTTAAACATACATTATGCAAGAACTAAATCTGCCAATTGTAGGTCTTTCTTTCGGCCTGAAATGTTATCTCAATTATTAATTAGACATCAATTAACGTATACAGACCACAATCAACTATTGATGGCATCGCTAGCCTATGATATTTACTGGATTAGAACCCGGTCTGGTGCTTCTGATTAAATCAAAAGCTGGACAATCGAGACTATATTTTTTATCGTACCGACTTTAGTAATGATGATCGAGGCTAAACTCAAAATTCAATCGCTAAATACTCGGTTCAGGATGGCTCAAATTCCCTCTACATTATCTAGTTTTTAATTATTATAGTGCGAACTACCATGTATCTTTAGTGTTGGAAAACAGGAATTCTAGACCATAGCAACAGAAAACATTCCAAAATTCCTAGAGTAGGAATAGGGCGTTGTCCGGGTAAAATCCCTTCTCTCCCGCCGTCGGCTTCAACACTGCGTATGTCCATGTTTATTATCCCAGTTGGTGCAGAAAAGAAGGACGCGAAACCCCATTTTATTTCCTTAAGGGGGGTTGGATGGCCAAATGGTAAGCACGTGCGCGCTGTATCATAAAGCCTGTCATTGAGTCAACTGGCGTGGTTTCGAATCCCCGGTTGTACGTGACAAGGAGTAGGGTCGCCTGTCCAACCTCGTGGGTTTTCTCCGGGTCCTCCGGTTTCCTCGCACTGCTAAAGACCCCTACGCGCAAGCGAATTATTGAAATAAAATTAAACCATATATTAGTCCCGAAATGACCACGTTAAACCCCATCTCTCCCTCTCTCTCTATTTGCTGAAGTTCTGGTGTCTATTGAAGTAAGCGAATATTATATTAATGGGATGATTAGATTAAGATCCTCGCGATTCTCGACAGTATCAGGGTTGATCGCACTAGCTTGATATTTATCATGATAAATGCTTATCATCGACGACATGTTAAATACCGGTTAGTCTAGTAGAGTTATCGATCCTAAGTAATCTGTTTCCTATCATCCAGTAATAACCCTGTCTTGTCTCTATCTCTGTTTCAAATCTCATGCTTTATATTAGATTTAAGAAATTCTAGCCGAAGAAGAAAATATCATCGTTTGCTCGCACTATCTAACCCTATTGTTTGGCTTCTGGAGAGAATTACAGCATGACTTGTTGGTGCTGTGAAACATGAGCCACGTTAGGTAGCTTTAAGTGAGATGATGCAGCATGCAGTTAATGCCACTGATCATTGTTCCACAGAGAGAGGAGTCCCCTGAAAATTACCATAAGTTGAATTTCTAAAAGAATATCAGAAACAAAATGGTTCCATTCCGTTCAGTATTTACAAAGTTGTTATGGACTGAAAATTGCCCAACATTCGACTTCCTCTGCAGACGGTATAACAATGTCAGCGCCGCCTATGAATGTTGGGTAAAATATTTTGATAGGCCTTAATTAAAATGTTAAATAATCAATTTGTAAGTGCATTTTACCGTGGATTACGTAGATTGAATATTTTCCGAAAAACGCAATATAAGGATTGGCCATTTTGGCGAAAGAAATGGCATAGGCCTACATAGAAATTTACTTTCTAATTTGAGAAGTTCTTTGAGTCTCCAGCAAAGTCAAGTTACGCGGAACAAAGGATAGAGGCGTTCGCTTTGCTTCTCCCTATCAAAATAATCTCTTACTGATAAAATATGGAAACATCAGAATATTCAGCGACGATTCAATATTATTTTATTTCATCATAGCCATTAAGGACAATTACATTATTCTGGGTGATGTAAATAAAGATCCGAATATCATAATTCCAGTATTACATTAGTTGATACTCGCTTTATTTATATCAAGAATATTGGAATTCTGGTGGAGTATTCAGCGCATCGTGTATATAGACTATTCTGGAAGTTGAAATGAAGTTTATGGCGATGTTCTATTCCGCTATGAATCTAATACAGCAACTTAAACACTGCCCAAAACTATCGTCAGTGAATAAAAGACTGGAAATAAACACACCACGTGTCTCTGTCAATAATAATCTCAGGCTACTGATAGTTCTAACAATACAGGCTTTTTATTCGTCGTTAAATTAGATTACTATAGCGACCGCGTCTTTAATATAATATTTTAACAGAAACCCGGTTTATAAACCTACACCCTTCGCTCTTTTATGTTTAGTGAAATTCTCAATTAACACGACTATATTGTGGATAGTAAGATTACTAGTTTAATTTCATGTTATTAGATCAAATATATCACCAGGTATTTTATTATAGCAGTTTATCAAAATATCGCCATGTTTTTCATTTGTATTTGTGTTTTGTTATTGTCGTATTGTTATTCCATGCAAGTATATATTTATTTTAAATAAGAAAGGAGCGTTTCGTATTTCGACTCCCACTCCTTAATGAAATGAAAGGACCTAAAATGAAATTGGGATTTAAGGTCCTAGGTGATTGTACTAATCGCGCTAATGCTAGGTTTCCACTGTCGTGCAATGAATATTTATTGACTAGACTCCTTAGATGCTGAGAAAGCAAACCACCGGCCCCCGCTTCCCCTAAACCTATGTAAACTAGTTCACATTTCAGCCAATAGAGAGGGTGAAATTATGATTATGAATTACAGATTGTTTTTGATCAAATGGAGGGTTGAAGGTGAAATAAACATAAACATTTTACATTTTAGATAAAATGTTTTTAAAAAAGTATAAAATATTGTATTTTAAAATTTCTTTAAAATCAGAAGAAAAATCAACTGAGCGCAGACACTGGACAGTAGGCAGACAGGGGATTTGGGGGGGGGGGGGGGCGTCACTGAAACTTTTGCCCTGGAGCGCCACAGTGGCTTGTGAGGGTCCTACAGACCGTTACTACAACTCGCATGACACTTGGACGTTCTTGTTTATGATTTGAAAGTTGTTGTGTCTATATATCACAACCTGACTGTAGGCGTTGTTTATATTGTTATATACAATAATTATATTAAAACATGGCTTATAATAGAATATTGACACTTTAACAACATGATTGAGATCTTTCCCCCGGGGCAGGTTAGGAAACAATAACACATGACATCCATATTAATAAGTTCATTGGATTTAAATAGTTTGATAACATCTAGGGGCATTATGGTCACTGATTCTGCGCGAGAAACAAGTTTATGTCGTGGCATAAAACCCATATTAATATCGTTACGAGGGGTGTATCTGTTATCGCTTGTTACTTCAATCAGTTATATAGAAGGATAACTCGTGGTATCCTTTTGCCTTCGTCACTTCCGTTTCTTGAAATCGTCATTACCCATCTATCGTAGCAATGATCACTGTGTTAAAATTATATTTGGAACGTGTTTAACCAGTTCTATCACATGTGATAATGTCTGACCCCAATATTGTCCTTTGAGGTGCGCAAAAACACACCTACACTTAACCCCTGGTATAGACGTCAAGCTTTAAGTAGACTGGATAACCTGGACTAAATGACGTCAGGTTGGTTCCTACGTCACGGGGGTAATCTAACTTCAAAGACTATCAAGCCCAATTTCTACCTTGAAGTTATTAAAAGAGGTAAATTGTTAAACATTTGATGTCAGGGATAAATATATAATTATTTCTTATTTTCTTTACTTTCAGAAAGTCGAGAAACGTCGTATATCTACGCCATATTATCGGCTGGTATCATGTACAGTGTTACACGTGCATGTGCTAAGGGTGACCTTGGGCACTGTGGTTGTGATACCAAGGTGAGACAGATAACGACGGATGGAGGCTTTGAATGGGGAGGATGTTCCGATAATATACGATATGGTTCTAAGTTCTCCAAAGATTTTGTCGATTCCAAAGAGATGAGGTTGAACGCCGATGGCTTAATGAATGTATGGAATAATGGCGCCGGACGAAAGGTAGGGAACTAGATAATTTGATCTTAAACGTAGGAACCGGATCCCGTCACAGAGGTCCGGGGTTTGATCCCGGTGTTGGCCAAGCACCCGGATCTGTCACAGTGGTTCAGTGTGTCGGGCGGTGGTTCACTAACTCAGAGGTCCCGCGTATGATCCCTGTGTTATCCTAGCAACCGGATCCCCTAACACAGGGGTCGGGGGTTTTATCCCGATGTTATTCTAGCACCTGAACTGTCACAGTGGTGACACTAACACAGGGGTCAGGGGTTTTATCCCGATGTTATTCTAGCACCTGAACATCACAGTGGTGACACTAACACAGGGGTCGGGGGTTTTATCCCGATGTTATTCTAGAACCTGAACTGTCACAGTGGTGACACTAACACAGGGGTCGGGACGGAGGATCTCGCAAGGAAAAACTGTCTAATCGTTAGGATGGGACGAAAATACTAGATCCCGTGACAAGTGAGAATAACCCAAGGCAGTTGGAATTCGAAATAAGACAATATCGTATCGCCGCTGTATGTCAATAACCCACCTTCAATATCCCAGTCGAAGCAGAACAGTAGGACGTTAAACCCCGTTTCTTTTCATTTCAAAACGTTACCTTAATCAGCAAGTAGTTTTGTTGTCCGAGGGAAATGTTGACACTGGACTGTTATTGTTGTTGTAAACTTTCAAGTTTTTAAGTTTTCTAATTTTTTTTTATTTTTCAGACGGTGAAGGAGGAATTAGATCTAATCTGTAAGTGTCATGGCGTATCCGGTTCCTGCTCTGTCAAAATTTGTTGGCGTAAAATGAAAACATTCCGTGCGATTGGGACTACTTTGAAAAACCGATTTGATGGAGCAAGTCTGGTGAAAATGGACAAAAGAAAGAAGCGATTAAAACGACTGTCTCGGCTACAGAAACGACCGACAAAAAAAGACTTGGTGTATCTTCAAGAATCCCCGGATTTCTGTGAACACAATTTGGAATTTGGATCCTTAGGAACTCGGGGTCGACAGTGTAATAAAACGAGCTACGGTTTGGATGGGTGCAGATTAATGTGCTGTGGGCGGGGCTATTATACACTTGTAAAAGAGGAAAAAGACGACTGTGATTGTAAATTTTACTGGTGTTGCCGAGTGGAGTGTAAAAAATGTACAAACGTGAAAGAGCTGCATTACTGTAACTGAACAAACTGGACTTGTGAACGCGGGTACGATTAGTAAATATTTCTGGAAAAGGACAGAAGCGTCGTTTCGGCAATATATAAAAAGTGTTACCATGGTGTTCAAAGGGAACACTTTCATAAGATACTCGCCCATAGCATTACCAGCAGACTAACTTATTGCTCATGTGTAAATACAACAGCATACTTAAAGTCACGTGAGTGTAAAACGTCATTTCCTGTGTATGAATACATCAAAGAAATAGTGCAATGTATAAAACAACCAATTTAACCAATTTGCATAATCGGAGAACGAGTGGACACGGTAACAATAAAACGATAAAATATGCCTAAAGTAGTGCGTAACGAGCAATTGAAAGGTTTATTGTGGTTCACTCAAAATGTCTGTTGGACAAGATATGGGGCAAAATCCAAGCATGGCACAAACTTTATGTGTGAATCAAAAGACATGGACAAAATAACTTTAAAAATGGACGAATTGCAACCATTTTCTTTTCTTGTTTGTTTTCTTGTTATGTTATCAGAAGAGACAAGGTTTGCTTTAAATAATTTTAGAGTGCTTTTAGTGTCAATGTCGTAGTGGCTATTAACGATGATTCTACGATATTAATATATATATATACGATATAGAAACGATGTTATTAAAGATATAGGTGTACATTTTAATATTGGGAAATAACGTATTGTAAAATGTTTTAATAATTTTTGATTTGTACATAGTGTAAAGAGTAATATGTAATAAAAGCGTTATAAAGGGTCTCGATAATGATTGGTTAATTTGTTATAAGCGTGCTTAACTGTTATAAAGGGTAACAACTAATTTGATATAATAGCAGCTTTTAAAATGTATATATGCGGGCTTCACTGTTGTAGTAACGTGACGCATCACGCCAGACTGCTTAATTTGTTATAAGCGGACTTAACTATACGGGACGTAACTTTTTTAGCGTAATGTCTTCTTTATTTGTTATAAGCGGGTATCGCTGCTGTAGTAACGCAGTGCATCTCTTTGGATTCACTGTTTTAGCGTAATGGTTGCTTAATATGTTATAAGCATGCTGAACTGTAGGTGACACATCTCTCGGAATTCTGTGCGTCGCTACTGTCTAAGTATAATGGCTGCTTAGCTTGTTATAAGAGGTATTCATTAGTGGGTCACAACTGTTCCAGATTCATGGCTGCTTAATTTGTTAAAAGCGGGCTTTACTGTTGTAGTAACGTGACGAATCTCTCTGGATTCAGAGGGTCCTTTTAATGAAACTTTTAAGTCATTGCTCTCTTTTATGTAAATGATGTTAAAGATCACGTGATATTTAGCTAATAAACAAAAACAAACGGATCTTTCAGCTACAAGAAAATGGCGACACTATGGAGGCTTTGTGGTGTTGCTTGACCGGAACTTGGCTAGAGTGCTTCGAAAACTATAGATCATTAAGCTTGACCATAGTAGGACTTCATTATCGAAGACAGGGCAATCAGGGATTTGTGTAAGGACCATTCAAGGATAAACGGATAATGGTCACCGGAAGATGAAGCCGTTGATGCAGAAATTGTAAAAATATTATGAATATGACGTCACGTCTAGTCTTCGCCTGATACCTTGGGCGGTCTGTCAAATAACAGATTTCAAAGGAATATAAACCAAGCTATGTCTGAATTTACTTAAAAATTAAAAATTGTATATTACTAGGTAAAGATAGGTGCGTGTGAAAGTAAAACAACAAAAAGAGATACCGGCTTCAAATAGCCAGAACGTACATTATAAACCTGATTAAAATATAGTTCTACTTTCATTTTGTTTTTCATTGTTTTGATGGACTCCGGTCTACATATCAATATGGCTAGTTTAAATGGGAGGTTACCATACTAAACTTATGCTGTTTGTTTACAGAACAAACACTAAGCTAGTTGACCGACATTTTAAGTCGTAAATCGACGATTTTAGTCGAAAAGTTTAAGTATAATAAGGTAGTTTACACCAATTGGGATGGAAACTAACTGCCACCTAAATAGAGGTAACTCCTAGCCTTTAGTGGTGTAAACCGATAACACCCAACTAGTGTAGAACATTACACCATTTCAGGTGGAAACTAGTTGCCACGTCCAGCAGTGTAACCTGTCTGATGCACTCAGACAGTGTAATATTACACTTAAATAGTTTACACCCGTGGGTGTAGATTAAGCATTACCCTTAAAGGATGCTTTGTAAATTACACTTCCATTTTAATTATTACACCAACGCGGGTGTAATTTGTTTTGTTGGATATTTATTTCTAACCAACGACTTCTAAGTACAGAAAACTTGAAATTGGCTATCGGCCTCTATGATAATTAGTATAGGGCGTTTAGCCCGACCCAGACTACATACCGCCGGCTACTTCGCTTCATTTTACAACGAAATTAAATTGACAAATACCCATCAGACTGTTTCAAATCCAACTGCTGTTGGGTAATTAGACAATCTGCATCAATTTACAATGAATACAAATCATGAGGAAAAATCAGTACACATATCCTTACAACTTAGCTGAATAATGTGGTTTATTCAATTATGCACCTCACCTGAATAAAGAATTATTAATTAAGATATTGTACTTTGTAATATTTTGGAACATTTACACGTCTTTAAGTGTGTACAAGCTAAAATAATCTACACTTTACTCGTTATGAATAAACACTTTAAAATGAGTTATAGTCGTGTTATTAGTCTAATTAAACGCCATATTTTACAAAAAAAAAACCTCAAATTTGTGTACACAAATAATATTTTGTAACGTAAGATACGGTGTAAAATTGACACCTTATTCGGAGGAATGTTTCCCTAAAATAATTAAACCTGTTGGTGTAAATGCAATAAAACGCTTGTAGAGGGGGTAGCTCATCCCAAACACCCTCTAGTAGAGCGGGAGCTCAGGGGGTTAACCTAGATGAAAAGTGTACCAATTTTCTCCTATATGGTATCAATGTATGTATATCTGGTATCATCAGAATGTAAGTCTGCCGGTTTTCTGGTGGTGGGTGTGGTATTCCACGCCCAAAATGCCATGCCCCCCAACTAGTCTAGATTAGCTAAAAAGTGTACCACATGAAAATCGCACAGCAATGTACCGTACATCTTCAGGGCTCCCGATCTATTAGCGGCCACAATTACACCTATCCTGGTGTTCAGTACTCGTGAATATCGATTACACGAAATTAACGCTTTTCTATGATTTATTCCCAAATAATAGTTTTATAAAGGGCTATATTTTAGTTAAAATAAGGCAAACAATTTTGAGTAAATTCTTAGGTCTGAGGGTTAAGGTGTTCAACGTTGTTAAAGGTTGTTTATCGTCAGTTGTAATTTTCTGATAATATTAATTTTTTACAGTTTAATCTCTGCTAAATCTTACTCAAGTTAATTTTATAACATTTAATTAAAAAACGAAATCAAACTATCAAGGGTAGATAATTCAACCTGGTTATAAAGAGGCCCATGAAAAGATTTCAGTGTAAATTATTGTAGGAAGCATTGGCTGGTGTTGATTATATTCTATATTTCGTCTGCTGTGGGTGCCGAATGTTGACTTCAATTCAACCTATCTTTGTAAATACTGAACGGACGGATAGAGAGAGAAATGGGGTTTAACGTCCACTCGACACAAACTAGGTCATTTCGGGACTAACATATTCTTTAATTTTATTTCAATAATTCGCGTGAGCGTAGGGGTCTTTAGCAGTTGAAGGAACCCGTAGAACCTGGAGAAAACCCACGAGGCTGGACAGGCGACCCTACTTCTTGTCACGTACCACCAGGGAATCGACACCACACCATTTGACACAATAGCAGACCTTATGATACAACACACACGCGCTAACCATTCGACTCCCCCCCCCCAATACTGAACGGAATTGGACCATTTTTTTACTTATATTTTGACAATAGTGCAATTTACGAGGGATTCAAATGTGTTATCGGATTTGTTATATTGATTAGTGATAGGCAAAATTAGACGGAAGTTGGTCTGTTTACTAGTTTTAGTTTCATTTTGGGTTTAGTCATAGTGAGTCGACACAGCCGGTTATCTCGGTATTGGTTTTGAACTAAGACAGATTTCTCTCTCTATCTCTCATTAATCAATTCCAGGTTTTGATAAATTTATCTAGTAATATAGGTTAGATTGTATAAAAGTATATAAATAAAAAAACATTCCTGTGAATTTAACTAGTCTACAAGCTAGCTATCTGTCATTTGACTGTGATTTCACCCTAGGTGGACGCGGACGATAAACCCCATTGACTGACTGTCTGTCTGTCATGGTCTTCTATAACAATATGGTGTACGTTTAAACCTGGCTAAGACGGCTCAATAAAACATGATACATGGTCATTTTCTTACCTTTATTTATTATCTTTTAATGCCCTTGATCTAGATAAATGAACAATATATGAAGTGTGAGATGATACTAGGGGATTAAAGGGGATTAGGGGTTGAAGGACTGTGACTAGTGTTTTAGCCCCTAGCGATATTTACACCATCACCTTTATTCAGCCAGGTCGGTTTCTAGATAAGTTTACTATGGTGTCCGATGTCAACCAATAACTTCCCTTGATCCTTGAACAACCCATCATGACATGTTGGCTGAACGAGTTATGTTTCATTTGAGAAATTACCTCGTAAATCTCAAAAGAAATAAAATTTAAATGTCTATGTTTCTGCTCCGACTGGGATAAGGAGAACGGGCATACGCCAGAACAGTGTGCTATGAAATGAAATGAAATGTTCTGTTACGATTGGGCTAATGAAGACGGGCATACGCCATGCAGTGTGCTATGAGGTGAACTTGTGTCCGGGCAGAGGCGTTATGGCCTACTCTTATTCGAATTCCAACTGTTTAGGGTTCTTTTACGTGCACGCCAATGTGTACACGGGGCCTAGGATTTTCGTCCCATCCGAACGACTATACACTGTAACAAAAACAAAAAAAATCCGCGAAAAACCGTAAAAAATTCCGGAAACAAAAATTATCAGGAAAATTTTATCCGTAATATTTATTTTTCCTGTAATTTACAGACATTCCTTCAATTAACTTAAATTCCATTTTCAAATACAGAAAAAAAAGTACTGCTAATTTTTGTTTCCTGCGTATGATAGTGATATAAATCTCATTGAATTAACCATTGACTTTATACGAGTGTGTGAAATAGCTTTATTTAACGTCCGCTTCTTCCACTGAGGTGATATCGCAGAAAAACATGCTTGATAACCAGATAATACAATTTATACATTTATGAAAATTCTTACAATCTGATTACCGTATGATGAATAACAATAAACTTTATAGATCTTATAAATAATGGCAATTAGATATACATGACATGTAATATACCAACGTTTACAAAATATAATTCTACATATTATGGTTAATAAATTGAAATGAATACTACAACATGATAATCATTAGTAATGATTATATATGTATACTATTACTTATCGTTGTATTTGCAAACAGAAATAATCCGTAAATTCCTCGTCATTATACCGTTTATGACGTAAAATAACAGAATTAAGTCCATTATAGAAGGGAATAAAACATTTTATCCCTAAATGTCACGGAAATTCCCTCTTTAATACTGAACATTCCAGAGAAATACATAAAACCACGTAATTTTAAGAAATAATTCACACTTTTAACACAAATTCTCCCCAAAAAAGCCATCGATTAACAGAAAAAAAGTGTTAAACTACGGAATTCGGCCACATAAAAATGGATATGTTT